CACACACACACACACAACTGTACAGCTCTATAAGTGTATGTGCGAGGCATGCTTGCACAGCTCAGATTGGTATGTCAGTTGCCCGGGTCACCGGATTCCTGCGCCAGTTGAGACTGGCTGATCAACCTCGAGAAGAGGTGGCAGTCAATTGACTGTATTGTTGACAATCCGGTCCTAGAGGGTGTGCATCCGAGTCTGTCAGTCTCTACGCGCCAATCGGCACACGTACAGCTTTTGCGTGCTGTACGGAGTTGCAGACAAATCGATAGTCCCCAGGGCTTTCTGTGTGCTGCTGACTTGCCGCAATCTACAGACCGGTTGCCAGGTGACTTCGAGGCCTCAGAGACGGCTCTGCCTCAGACAGGCCTACTCCGCCTGACTGCTCAAACCGCGACGTTGCCAAGTGCCGCGAGCCTGCAACACTCCATTTCCATACGTCGTCATCCCTTTTCCTCCTTTTCCTCCTTTTCCTCCTTTTCCTCCGTTCGCCTCCGTTCGCCTCCGTTCGCCTCCGTTCGCCTCGGTCCGTCCGACCTGATCAGCTCAACAGCCGCGCTGGGATTTTGTCCGTCCGTGCCGCCGGTTGCCAGCCCATGAACTGACTGGCAGCCTCGCCTCTCGCAAGAGGCACCAGCAACGCAAAACCCCAACGACGACGGTAAGTGCGGCCCTTGGTTACCCACTGCTCCAATTTGTACACTTCGCCAACACCCGAGGCCATCTTCACTGGCTCAAGCGGCTCGCGAAAACCGAAGCAAGCTGTTTGCTTTCGGCGAAAACTCCATCAAATTAAGCACCATTATTTCCACTTTCCCACACATTAGGCTCAGGAATTATGGTCAACTCGACCGTTTGTCTCCCCTCCGGGCCATCTCATCACCACCCCAACGCGATTGGATACCGATTCGCCATTGTGTAATAATTGACTATACAAGCATGCATTTCTCACTGAAATCTACCACGTTACTTGCTTTCGATATAAGTAGTATGCTCATTTATACGTAATTCTTTAACAATAAGGCTATTTATAGTCATTCAAAGAGTGATGGTTGAGTTGGCTTTAGAGCTCCAGTGAATTCCACACTTAATCTTGTCTCTTATAATGTTTGCTCATTTCTACCGGAATACAGATTCTACTCCCCCGTGAACTCGCTCATCAGCACCCAATCCGTTGTGATACCAGGTGATCTTGGTCACCTTCAAGGCAATCTAGACCGCTTCAAAAATAACATTTATTCTTTTGGGATTGCCAATTAATCAAACATGCAATCGGCCACGTGACATTCTTTCTGTACAGTTAGTTGCCCGGATTATGCACAATTATCGACAAGAACTTAGTCAACGACTGACAGCGGAATTTTCCCACACAATCTTATGAGTGGGACTCAGGAGTCCATAAAATATTCCTTCAACGTTGCCTCATTTCCGTCGAAATGGACCGCCGGACTGTAGAATCGACCTTCACCCTCAGCGAGATTCGATACCGACTCGTCAGTGCCGTGACGACGTTGCACCTCCTCTAAACTACCACATTTGCCAGGACAGATGTGGCGTACACGACAGACTGAGCCTACACCAAATCGCATTGTTATTGTGGCAGAGTCGACTAAGCAAACAAACATTCGTCACTGCAATCACATAATATACTTATATTAGATATAAGTAGTAATGTAGATTTTGCGTAATTCTCAAAACAATAACTTGGTCTCCTAGTTCGCTTAAGGTGATTCAAGGAACTTCACTGCGGTTAGTACCATAATGACAATAATTTAGCCCCTCCATTCAGGACTGATTCCCATCAGTATGTGGTAAACTAGTTCTCTTCCAAATAAATGCATGTTGCTGAGTGGTTGATGATACAGTTTTGAATATAGATTCCAGTCTCCATAAGTGGCATACAATAAGGAAATGCTGATTGTTGCATTTTTCCCACAATCATCGGAGTAGGCCATCTAATTTCTTTTAGCCTCGCCTCCGCAAAGATATTCCCATCCAAAGTGGACTGGACTGAGGTTTCAACCTCGTCTAGGATGCATAGTAGAACTTGCAGTCCAGTCCGCCCTAGACGCAAATACATTTGTGGAGGCAAGACTAAGTCAAATCAAATGGTATACTCCAATAAATGTGAAAAAAATACAAAAAAACAATCTTTCCTTACTGTATACGACAGCGTGTGATGGAAATTTGTATTCAAGTTTTCCCATTCATAGTCTCAAAAACATACTTC